CATCACATCGCGTCATATTATAAATCACGGCACATCTGGTGTTAATGCTTATCGAATACCATAGACAACATAATCGCCTCACGTCCGTTGCCTCGATTGAGTTTTCTCACTGTCGAGGTTCGGACGTGGGTTGTTGAGTAACAGGTTTCAGTTGGTTCATTTCCAACATACCTGGCTGACTTCCATAGAAGTGTGGAGGGGAAAACTCGGCAATTTCCATCAGAAAAAATAGGTGGAATGATGGTGGTGGTTGTAATATCAACCTATACTTATAATGTAATTCTGATGCTGACGGTTTCTGAGACTAGAAATAAGTTTTTTTGTTATTGAAGCGTGTTCCATTAGATCATATTACATCAATATCCGTATTAGAGGTTATAAACCGTAATGGAAATAGTAAATTGACCAATCACAATACTCGCAGGCTACCGCATGCGTGTCTGTAATTGAATGTAGAACTGCCGAGATACGCATGCTGGAACCATAGATTCGAAGATCTGATGCGTTTGATTGCGTTTCCCTTTTACTAACCGACTTCAAAAAAGGTAGAGGTTCTCAATTCGACTGTATGTTTCTTTATATTTGTTACATCATAACTTTTGACTGGGCGAATCGATTTTGATGATTCTATTTTTATTAGAAAGCTGACGCTTCCCGTGTTGTCCCATTTCAATTTAGTCCAGTTCTGATAATGGTATCCATGAGAAAACCATATAAGTCTTAAATTTGCATTAAGTACGTGCGCGACAAATAGATGGATAACTCAATATCACGCCTACCGATTTCGATGATTATTGTTTTTAGTGTATATTAATTTGTTTTGGAATATCTTTTTTTTCTATTTGAAGTCAGTTTTTGTGAAAGCAATTATTTTTTACTACAAGAACATATCAAATCAAAGCATCGATTTAACAGTCCTTACATTAAATTTTCTTTTAATAAAAACGGGTATAGCCGTGGTCTTGTCTGTGACTGCTTCGAAGTGATCACGTCTTTCGTTGTGATATCTGCGGGCTCTGTGTAGCACTTATAATGCCAATCGGGCCGTGAGTCCGTGAGTCTGTGAAATAAAAAGGCGGTTTAACCCTTTGACTGCCGTGTGAGTGCTCTGAGGAATTGTTCGAGATGATACCGGCATCTCGTTTTTACCATCGCACCGCCCGCCACCGGAGTAGAGTTCATCCATACTACCTGGAGCCACTGCGGTCATCCACAGTGCGTTTCCAGAGATCTTTTTTGCCACGTACCATCCGGCTATGGAATGAGCTCCCCTCCACGGTGTTTTCCGAGCGCTATGACATGTCCTTCTTCAAACGAGGCTTGTGGAGAGTACTTTAATGGTAGGCAGCGGCTTAGCTCTGCCCCTGGCATTGCTGAAGTCCATGGGCGACGGTAACCACTCACCATCAGGTGGGCCGTATGCTCGTCTGCCTACAAGGGCAATAAAAAAAAAAGTGTAGGTCACTGGTGTTCTATACGGCGCACTGAAGTAATTATGTCGATTTATTTCCGGAATATTCAATAGACAGTCTGAAGATACTGAGAATAAATCTATTTCTAAGTGTCTAAAACGTACATTAACAAACAAAAGAAGGCGAAGTTAGACAATCGAGGCGCTTAGTAACAGTAATCAACATAATTACTTCAGTGCGCCGCATAGGACACCGGTGACCTACACGGCAGTCAACGTGTTAAAGAAAAGGGCGGACTTAATTGACTCGTATCACAAATTAAGCTCATTTAAAAAGCGGTCTTATTAAAACAATAAGAAGGTCTTATTTATTCTGTCCGCTTACAACAATCACATACACTAGTGAATTTATCTAAAGTAATAAGGCTTAAACTAATTTGTAGTGTAAACTTTTTAGTTTGGCGCACGTAAACATCTGTCTATACAAGAAAGTTAACGCCTCTATAATGTTCACGTTGTGGACTACGGTAATACTATACCTAATAGTTTCATTATGTATAACTTGGCTGTGCATTCGTTTACTCATCCCTACATAGTATAAAACAAAGTCGCTTTCTCTGTCCCTATATCCCTGTGTATGCTTAAATCTTTAAAACTACGCAACGGATTTTGATGCGGTTTTTTTTAATAGATAAAGTGATTAAAGAGGAAGGTTTATATGTATAATAACATCCATTAAATAGTGGAGAAATCAATAATAAATTACAGTTTCCGAAGCGAAGAGAGGGCGGGTCGCTAGTATACTAATAAAGCAAGATAAACATAGATTACAGCAAACTATTACAATTCATAATAAATCGAATATTAATAATAATCGTGTAAGCGTAAGGTATATGTATGCATATGCCGAGAAGAAACCCTGTGCGCACCGGCTTCAAATGTCGGACGATTTATTAAACAATTGAGTCTTCGATCCTATGATATATATCAAGCTAGACAGTAGCTTTCAAAGTTGTGATATCCACGGGGACCACTTAAAATGAGATGGTATTTGTTGTAGCTAAAAAAAACAATTTTTTTTTTCATTATTATACAATAGTAAATAAGACGGTACTTAGCATAATTTTTAAATGTCGACGATAAATGACTTTATGTGTCAGTGACCACAAAATCTGTAGAGTATTTTAATCTCGGAGGCTATGTAACATAATTAAAATAAAATCCGAGATTAAACTGGAAAAGTAGTTTTAATTATGTCTACGGCTCGAGAAAATCGAGGAAAATACTGCGCTTCGTTGAACTAAAGAAAGGATTACTGGTGTATTTATTCGGACGGTCACTTTGTGGACCGGTGAGCGATCTAGGTATCCTAAATTGGACTCCTTTGTCCTGATCGCAATCTCCATAAAGCAGCTAAACACCTAGCCGAGATTCCCCTTCGCGGGGTCCCGCGGGGTGGATTCGGGTGGCAGTCCTCCCGCCTCCACGTAAAGGCGGTTTCCCACCGGAGCTCAGTCTGATGCGAAGCACTAATATGTAAAGGATATCTTTAACTCATCACTCGGTCAGAATGAGTTAAAAAATTTAGCGATCTCATAATTTTATGTAAGTTCATTCATTCGTCGCTCTCACATATTTTATTTTTACGCTCCAGAATTAAGTCTGATCATTGAATTATGAATTACGGGTTATATATTCATCGAACTGAGAACTACAAAATCGAGCTCTTCCATGATAATATTGAACGACAAAATATAACTTGTTTACTTTTGCGTTGAAATATGGCCTTCATAAAATTTGTATTCTCGTCGTGTTCAGCACGATGTCGACACGAAATAACCTCCCAAGTTATATAAAGAGTTAGGCACCTTATGATTCCGGAACGCAGCCGCGCCGAGGTGAGGCGTTTTATTAATTCTTAAAAACCTCGGAAACACTCTGTCGATAATAATTACTTTGGCGTCTAAGGTGCGATTGAATCAAATTGAAAAGTTTTATGAAAAATTACAGGACGTCACGTGATTTATAAATTCTTAGTACTTTGTAACTGTGACTACTATTCTTAAGAATTCGCCAAATATTCGTTAGCTTTACATTTGATAGTACTGATTTGTTACTATGACTACTATTCTTAAGAACACGCCAAATATTCGTTAGCTCTACATTTGATAGTACTGATTTGTTACTATGACTACTATTCTTAAGAACACGCCAAATATTCGTTAGCTCTACATTTGATAGTACTGATTTGTTACTATGACTACTATTCTTAAGAATTCGCCAAATATTCGTTAGCTTTACATTTGATAGTACTGATTTCTTACTATGATTACTATTCTCAAGAATACGCTAAATATTCGTTAGCTTTACATTTGATAGTACTGATTTGTTACTATGACTACTATTCTTAAGAACACGCCAAATATTCGTTAGCTCTACATTTGATAGTACTGATTTGTTACTATGACGACTATTCTTAAGAATTCGCCAAATATTCGTTAGCTTTACATTTGATAGTACTGATTTGTTACTATGACTACTATTCTTAAGAACACGGCAAATATTCGTTAGCTCTACATTTGATAGTACTGATTTGTAACTATGACTACTATTCTTAAGAATTCGCCAAATATTCGTTAGCTTTACATTTGATAGTACTGATTTCTTACTATGATTACTATTCTCAAGAATACGCTAAATATTCGTTAGCTTTACATTTGATAGTACTGATTTGTTACTATGACTACTATTCTTAAGAATACGTCAAATATCCGTTAGCTTTACATTTGATAGTACTGATTTGTTACTATGACTACTATTCTTAAGAACACGGCAAATATTCGTTAGCTCTACATTTGATAGTACTGATTTGTTACTACGACTACTATTCTTAAGAATACGCCAAGTATTCGTTAGCCCTAAATTTGATTTTACTGATTTGTTACTATGACTACTATTCTTAAGAATACGCCAAATATTCGTTAGCTCTACATTTGATAGTACTGATTTGTTACTATGACTACTATTCTTAAGAATACGCCAAATATTCGTTAGCTCTACATTTGATAGTACTGATTTGTTACTATGACTACTACTCTTAAGAATACGCCAAATATTTGTTAGCTTTACATTTGATATTAACTGAAACTACTGTTGAATAAAATATTATTCCGATAGTAACCATTCAGGGAGATGACTGATAAATAATATTATAAAAAATATATGATAATATCGTTTTCATTATCATGTCATTTAAGTATTATTGGAGATATTACGTGTAATTTTTTACTTTTTATTGCATAGATGGGTGGACGAGCTCACAGCCCACTTGGTGTTACGTGGTTACCGGAGCCCATATACATGTACAACGTAAATGCCGCCACCTACCGTGCGGTATGAGTTCTGAGGTCTCAGAATAGTTAAAACGTCTGCCCCACCCTTCAAACCGAAACGCATTACTGCTTCACGGCAGAAATAGGTAGAGTGGTGGTACTTACCCACGCGGACTCACAAGAGGTCCTACCACCAGTAATAAAAATATAATTATATATTAATAATATATTAATATAAGTGTTTATTTTTGAACCAGGTCCACCGTCGAGGAGGGAGAGCGAGTTTAAGAAGCCAGCTCACACTATGGTGGCACCGCAAAATGGTCGCGTTCACCATCGGCCGCACCCTTACAATAAGGTACATAGTCTATAATTACCATACTATGTAATAGAATATAGCGATGTTTGTCTATCAAAGTCACGATTGCGGAAGACCCTCGCCGACTGCATCCTTGTAGCAATTGAAGCAAATAAGTACGTATTCAAAATAAATCGCGACTCCCTCCCCCTGGCGTGTTTGCAAATAGTAAGACTAGTGGCTAGTAATACCGACTACTGTTTCCTATAGGTTTTTTTTTTTTTTTTAATAAATAAATAAATATTTACTAACAGTCACGCCACGTTAACTGGTCCCGTGGTAAGTTCGTAAAGAACTTGTGTTACAAGTACCAGATAACGGATATAAATGTAAGATTTTTTATTATAAACATACATATATTTAAGATACATCCATAACCCGGGAAAAGACATTTATATTTATCAAACAAATATACTTCCTTGGCGGGATTCGAACCCGCGACCCCCTTGTGTAGTGGACCATGTCACTTACCACTACACCAGACGGCCGTTTATGTTATGGATGTTGTTTTTTAAGATATTTACTATTCGGCTATTGTTGTTTTTTTGTGTAACGAAGAAACAAACCTTTGAAGAGCTACTTATAAAGTCATAGTGTTTCTTTTCCATCTTATAGTAGACTAGCGGCCCGCTCCGGCTTTGCTCGGGTCTTTAACAAAAATTTAAACGATATTTGACGTTGTATTATTTTTGTAAATAAAAGAACACTTATTGCGGCATAACTATAATAGTTAGACATATGCTGTCGCGACACTTTTTGTAAATAATATTGTGTTCTACAAAGTCAATAGTACATTATTTTATTCTATCATCAATAGTTTTCGCAAGGCACTCGATGTAAAGCATATTTTAGGTATTTTTTTTAAACCTTGGGTTACATTATTGGAGTTTTAGTAAAGATCCCTAATTTTTTTCAAAAAAAAAAAGCCTATGTCACTCGGAATTGTGTAGCTTTCAGTGAAAGAATTTTTCAAATCGGTTCAGTAGTTTGGGAGCCTATTCAATACAAACAAAGAAAAAAATCTTTCCTCTTTATAATATTAGTATAGATTTAAAGTAGTGAAACTCGGCCCGCTTTGATTTGATTTTGATCAAATCACTACCAAAATTCACAGGGACGTTCGCTAGACTAATCTGAAAATTTCTTGAATATTTCATCGAAATTGGTCCAGCCGTTTCAGAGTCTATAGGGAACGTATACACATTGACTTGTATATGTATAGATTTGAAATATTCTGAGGAATTGTTGCGGTCTAAATTCTACAGAACATATCAGTGGCAAATGCTTAGAGGACCAATGGGTTTTGTGTGTAAAAGAAAAACTCTCATTTAAATATAAACAAAGAACTTTTCTTTATTAAAATGGTTTATATAAAGCTTGTTTACGTCTTACGCCTTAATAAAAAATATGTTCTTTTGAAACTTCAATACTCTAGTGGGATTCTCGGCGGAGTGTAGGTAAAGTGGTTTTCTATAGAAATAGTTATACTAATTTATTGTGAATTGGCCCACTTTAGTTGAAGCGATCAACGTAGAATAACGTGTATGGATTCTGCTTAGAATAGCCGTAGAATAGTCGACAGGAATTGGCTTGGGAAAATTTGAAATTAAACAAGTACGTTTTTTTTTTTTATTGCCCTTGTAGGCAGACGAGCATACGGCCCACCTGATGGTGAGTGGTTACCGTCGCCCATGGACTTCAGCAATGCCAGGGGCAGAGCCAAGCCGCTCCTACCGCTTGATTACGATATAATAATAAGATCTATGAAAAATCTACCCCACAAAAAATTTACATCAATTTGCGTATTTACGAAGAATATTATGTAGTTACCTGTGTGTATTTCTGCTGTGGAGCAGTTATACGCTTCGGTCTTCGAAATCGGAAAAACACAGTCAGAATACAATTAAAACTTAGTGTCCCATTTTATGTGGCAATAACGTTAAACTCTTGTGTGCGCTTAAACCGGTTAAGCGAATTTGTCTACATCAGCAATTTAAATTATTTATAGAACAAGTAGTTTTGCTAACAAAGACCTTTTCTTTTCCTCCAGAACTTACTGGTGGTAGGACCTCTTGAGAGTCCGCGCGGGTAGGTATCACCACCCTGCCTATTTCTGCCGTAAAGCAGTAATGCGTTTCGGTTTGAAGGGTGGGGCAGCCGTTGTAACTATACTGAGACCTTACAACTTATATCGCAAGATGGGTGGCGCATTTACGTTGTAGATGTCTATGGGCTCCAGTAACCACTTAACACCAGGTGGGCTGTGAGCTTGTCCACCCATGTAAGCAATAAAAAAAGAAGAAAGAAAAAACATTATTTTAAATTTTATGCCGCGTTAATTATTTCTTTCGCGAGTATTAATGTCGTTACTTAATTATCTTTCACAGAATGACGGTTCCAATCCCACTGCACAAGCTCATCGGCCACCGCCATTGAGGATACCAAACGGCTTACAAGTAAGTTTCGCAACATAATTCGGGCGCGAGGCAAACGTTTCTTCCTATTTCGCTTATAAGATAGAACTAGGACTAGAACTGGTAAGTAGGACTGACATTATAAATGCTGTGATATTTGTGAAACCAGGTAACCGCCGGCACTAGATTGGTCGTAATGAGAATGACGAATGAAAGGCCAAGAAATAAGGATCGTACGTCGCGCTTCTGGTTTGGCACAGCTTAGGAACACAACGTATTCTTTTTATTTTTTTCCTACTTATGCTGATAGCCTTGAGAGGCTATTTCAGCGTTCGTCCTAACATGTAGGTGAGCTCACGGGGCTCAAACCGGAGTATTGCTAACACTGGCCCTAGCAAGAGCAGTGCTTCGCAAAATCTACCACCGGATCGGAAACGCGAGCCACTGAGAAGCTGTGTCTATGGGTTAATTCGCTCGTCGAGCCCTTCGTCGCGAGCGACGGGTTCGAAGAGAACGGTGATCGGTACTTGTGGTACCTAAAAGCACCGTTAATAGATCGGGAGGATCGGTAACGTAGATGTAGCTACGTGATTCCCAGAATTATGGATGTTTTGTGGTACTTCGTTGGTTTCTGATAATAAGTTTAAATTAGATTGTATTGAACGGTATATTGAAAAAACTGACAAGTATAGTGGGCGTTTTACATTTTTAGGACAAAGCGTGGGTAACAATAAAAATTAAGTACCTACATAGTAATCGCTACGTATGTACAATTTTATGAAAAACAAGGTTTAATTAATTTAGTACTAAAGGTAGTGCATTAACTAAATTTCATATTAATACGAAAATTGTTTGTGTAATGCTTGTAATCTCTAATGTTCTCTTAGTTCGAAGAAATAATGTTGCGGTTTTTATAGGAGGATGGTTATTACTAGTTGCGCTATGCTGGCTCTTTGTAATGTGACTTCATGTCTCATGTCGTGGAATCTATTGCTTCCGACCGTGACTTCAGGCAAAATAAAGAAACAAACTTAAATAAAACCCAAACTTAGCTAGTTAACATTTTCCATGCGATAGCTACTTGTTTAGGCGCTTCACTTTTGTAAGTCGCCTGAAACGTATCGGCTTAAAGACATTCCGTCGTGAATAAATAATTGCTCCCAATGTGTGTAATGCCTTTAATAAAATTCTATCGAACTAAAAATGTTGTCTTTACTCAGAAAAGTGACTGACTTCATATTCCTATTACTTTGTAGTATTGTTTGCTTCTACGAATCCTTGTTAATATAATGTACAGTTCCTTACAAAAACTACACCTTTTGGTTGGGGCGTTTCATAGGAATCTGGCTATTCATCCTTGTCGCACATGTTAATTTATTCATGGCATAGAGCGAGACGATGCGTACACAAATGAATACGCGACGAGAGATTCGACGCATGGGCGCTTTCGATGCGAAACTTTGCTGGCGTGAAGTTGTTAATCATACAACACAGAAAAGCGTGAAATGGCCCTAAAATTTTAATGGAGACTTTTTGCCACCATAATTTTACAGTACTCTAAAGTGCCTTTCTGTTGAGTCTGTGTTTGAAATGAGGAATGGCATGGTGTTATTCTGGTATAACGCTTGTGAGAAGCGACGTGACCTCAACGCCTGAGAGATTTGTTGCCATCATTTCGTCTCTAGTAGTGTCTGGTTTTTTACCTATCTTTGTGAGCCCGCTAAGGCTGTTACGATCATCCTGCCTTCTGCCACCCCGCGTTACGATCTAAAGAGCTATAATTCCATTGTACCTGAGACTTATTAATTTACTAATAAAAAAACTAACAGCTAAAACCATGATTTATGAAAAACTGTTATTAAAACGTAAAGTCACTCGGAGATTTTCACAAATAGGTTAAAACCCATATAATTTATAGTACCACATTATGGAAAGTTAATGTTTATAATAAGAATGTAATTTTTTAAATTGGAGTAAAGTGTATTGGGTTGAAGCCGTACAGCTTAATGCTACGGTTGACGCTTACGTTGTCATGTTTATAGGCTCACGTAATCCTTAGTGGTTATCTGATCTAAAGCGAGGGTTGTCAGCTCATCTGCCTGAAAGATAAATTCGTTGAACCACAACAAAGTAACGATTTTTTTCAATCCCCCTTAAATAGCATTGATCGGTATTATTTTCCTGCCATATTGTAATCTATATATATATATATATATATATAAATGAATATCTGTTCGTTAGTCTCGCTAAAACTCGAGAACGGCTGGACCGATTTGGCTAATTTTGGTCTTGAATTATTTGTGGAAGTCCAGAGAAGGTTTAAAAGGTTAGGTTAAATATAAAAATGCTGGGAATGAAATAAAAATAACAATTTTGTTTTTCCTTTCATGTGTCCACCGTCTGACGGATTCCTTTTGTTTGTTTTAACTTTATTTTATTCAAAAGCTTAGGTTTTTTATTTATCGATTGAGGCACTACGAAGTCTACCGGGTCAGCTAGTTAATAATAATTATACTATAATTCTCGTAAACATTGTTTAACCAACACCTTTCATGTATTCTCGGCACAGCAAATGGATCAGTGGATTATCCAGGAGCTATTAGTAGAGCAAGTAGGATTGCGTACAAATTTATATCTTCTCAGAAAGCCGCAGTGTTCCACAGATAGGTACCCTTAGCTAAGACCACTAATAGGGAGAACTGTTTCATGATCAGGGCGAGCAACGCTTTCCATTCCATCTCCCATGACTGCGTCATTGATTTGTTTGATACCACTTGTTGTACTCTCAAGGTTTGAATGGGTTTTACTTTGAGCAGTAAACCTTGTTCCAATATTTATTACTATTTATCATACGAGCTGCAATGGTTTTCGCCGCCATACATCGACTGTTTAATTTTCATTCTACTGTACTTTGATAATATTGATTTGATTATTGTTTGGCGATCTATTACCCTCTATAACATTTAACTATCTCTGGTTATGTGTGTATCTATTTGTTGATAATTGATTATTAATCACTACTGATTGAATATTTAAATTTAAAGTAGGTATGTTATTGTAAGTTTTGTAAGAAACACTTCTTATTGAAAAAAATTAAAAACATTGTCATAACCAAATTGTCGTATCGCGATAATAACTATGAAAATGTTTAATTATATTCATCAAATAAATTATGAAAGTTTTGGTATTCCTAAGTCTTCGTTAGTCGTAAGCACTGAAAACGAACTTGTTTTTGTCGTGAAGCAGTAATGCATTTCGGTTTGAAGGACGGGGCAGCCGTTGTAACTATACTGAGACCTTAATACTTATATCTTAAGGTGGGTGGCGCATTTACGTTGTAGATGTCTACGGGCTCCAGTAACCACTTAACACCAGATGGGCTGTGAGCTCGTCCACCCATCTAAGCAAAAAAAAACGACTTCGTTCTTCTAATGTTGGTGTTAAAAACCTATTGTAAAACCTTCTTTTAAATTCTTGAGTGACCATCACAATGTATGAATAATAAATAGATGAATATCCTCGCGTATTTTCGGCTTATGATATACGTCGAGTAATATTTTTGCCTGCGTTCCACTACGTTATGCGTGTGTGCGTGTGTGTGTGTGTGTGTGTGTGTGTGTGTGTGTAAAGAAGCATTTTTATTGAAGCCATAAAACGTCGATTTATGAAATTCGTTATGGAAAATTACTTTGGAGGGTCGCGGGACTGCTTGTATGCAAAAAAAAAATGTTTTTTCTGTTGTTGTTTTTTTTGTTGCTTAGATGGGTGGACGTGCTCACGGCCCACCTGGTGTTAAGTGGTTACTGGAGCGCATAGACATCTACAACGTAAATGCGCCACCCAGCTTGAGATATTTGCTAAAACCTTTGCCATCTATATTATTTTGTCGCTACTGTGCCAGTAACCTTCCCTGACGAGCCAATTACGACTATTTTTTTGATGATTGAAGGATTACTGGTGGCCCGGAAGCCTTTCCAGTTTAAACCAGGACAGGTGGGCGAGCAAAGACTCAGCCAGAAAGGGTTGAATTTGCTAACAGCTGCCCGAGCGCCTCCGAAGGAGACCTAACAACTCAAGAGCAGCTGCTTCACGAATGAATCTACTACCAGATCGGAATCGCGACCCACTGAGAAGATCCGGCGAGAAACTCAGCGAGCTGATTCATGGGTTAGGTTATACGTCGAACTCTTTGTCGAGTTCGACGAGTACGGTTACAGGGGTTCTTCAGCCTGCTCCTAGTGCTAGAGCTGAAGGCGACTAATGCAAAGGTTAGATATAAGTTCTAAGGTCTCAGTATAGTTACAACGGCTTCCCCGCCCTTCAAACCGAAACGCATTACTGCTTCACGGCAGAAATAGGCAGGGCGGTGGTACCTACCCGTGCGAACTCACAAGAGAATCTCTGAAAGTATACGGAGATGGTTTGTCTTGTAGATTACGACTTTGATTAATTTATTCCATCTTTTTTCAGCCCAACATCGACAGCAGTCAACCGCCAATAGAAAGTATTTTAAAGGTAATCATGACTTTTTGTATACATTTAAGCCGTTTGGTGTCCAACTTCCGAATCCTACTATAGTTAATTACTTTAATAAGTTTAATAAAAATCACTCACACATCCACGGTTTTGTTCAGTTTCTGAATTACCTATCTAAATATTTATCAAATATCTATTCAAATAAACGATTTCGTGCCACAAACTTTTACGCTACTATTTTTTTTTATAGCGCGAATCAATGTAACTGAGTAGTGAAAATAAAATCGCGTGCGATCAGCCCAACCGGATAACTGTTAACAGTGATGTGCTTTTGCAGGAAATGAAGTCGATACCAACACCCCTCTCGGTGATAGCGGCGACGCCGAGGAAAGAAGCCGAAAACAAATTCATTTTTAACCCTCACACGAATAAGGTAAGATAATTTTCGTACATATTTTACAATCCGGTCTTAGTATTTAGAACCATCTGGCATAATAGTGTTTTTAAAACCCAATATACATATTTATTCTCACATCCATCTAATGAGAGAAGCTGTGGATCGTGTTCGTTGGCGTGCTATTGAACAGGCCTATGTCCAACAGCGGACTGCTATAAGCTAGTTAGTCATAGTTATGACGACGATCATAATGCGTATTTATTATGTACGTGCATTATTTTTACAAGTAAGATTAGGATAGCGATTTTTTTTAAAACATCCCATAATAGATTCCATAATACATTCTTCGGACACATCATACGGCTCCCAGACATGAATTAGATAAGCTCATAGTTTCGGGTCGCATAGAGGGCAAACGCGCCGTGGACAGAACACCAGCCAGATGGTCAGATCTGGTAAAGGAAGCACTTGGTAGTCTGTACCATGCGGTCCTTGCCACCCATGATCGAACACTGTGGAGGATAGTCACATGTGGTCGCGATCCTTAGCAGTGAGGGAATGATATTGAAGAAGAAGAAGAAGATACCATATTTTGTTTCTGTATATAAACTTAGATCAATTGTAACTCAATTCAATTTAGATGATCTATTTTTATTAGGAATTGATAATAACGTAGTTCCCTAGTGTAAAACAGAACGTCAACATTGAAAAATCGATTCAGCATCAACTTTTGCAGCAGCGAGGGAATGATTTAGAAAAGAACCATAAATCATATTAGGGTTGAACAAAACTGTTTTGTAATTATTTGGGGAACCCGGAGACTTTCATTCCCAGGTGGTCTAAGGGAAGACACTTATGTACTTCGCATTGGACGATTGAGTAGGAGATTCGAATGCAACTGAGAATAGGACTTCAAATCTGAAGGTCGAAGTGGAATCTGCGTCTTTAGTTCTGGAAATCAAAATTTAATTGATTTTTTGTGGTACACAACAAAAAGTGTACAAGCAAAAAGTCAATTAGCAGTTAATTAATTTTCAAATTGGCATTTGTAGTGAACTTTGTTTTAAAGTGAATAAAATAGTAGTTCGAATCCAGTTGCGAACCTATGACGTCTTCATTGAGGAGATATGCGTAATATCGCCGGACTAAGTGCGTATTCTGGACTAGCGACCCGCTCTCGCTTTGCTTCGGAAAAATTATTGATAGCTGAGTCTGGCGATGTTACCCGCGGTTATTGTCGTACCGCGGGTGACGCCGTGGGGCGAAGCTAGTCGTGGGTAGAAGCCTAAGTTACTCCTTATATCATCAGCTACCTATTAGTGAAAGTCTCGTCAAAATCGGTCCAGCCGTTCCAAAGATTATCCGGAACAAACAGACGACAAAAATTGTAAAAATTGTTGTAGGTAGTAAAAAGCAGTGATTTCAATATTACGAAAAGACACTCCAATTTTATTTACATGTATAGATTCGTAATTATGTAGCGCTGCGAGAAATTGTATTTTTGCGATTCAAAGCGGAACGAATAATTGCTTTACTGCCGGATGGTCTTTTTAATTATAATTCAAAACTAACTCATGCGTATACTATACTTTGAACGCAATGGAAACTGAACTGTCATTACCGAGCTATTTATGATATCTATTAAATGTCGATGCCCTAGAATTTATGTGTAGTGCCTAGAAATAGTACCACCAAAATAATAAATATTTAGCTCATACAAATTTAAATTCTCCTTCGACAGGTCCAAGAGAATCCCGTGCAGGAAATCAAAACACCCCTAACAAAACCTGGTAAGTGTTTTCATTTTGTTTTCACACATCACGAAATGCTCTTCGAATTTTCTAGATGCGAGAAAGGACTTTAAAGTTGCATTACAAAAATGTTATTTTCGGATTTCGCTGTGGAGGAAAGAGACAAAAAAAAAAAGTAGCTTTAACAGTATTATGCTGTTTTCGCTCATGATTAATTTTTTATCGAAAAATATCGGAAATCGTTAATTAACAGTGGTGTAATGAGAATTTTTTTTGTGTAATATATTTTTTTATGTTATCTTGAGACATATAAAATTAAATAGTAGAATGATAGCGGATGTATGGAGTAAAGATTATCATAAAGATTATCGAAACTGCTTGGAAAACCCTGTTTGGAAATTGCCAAATCATTTCAAATTAGAGAAACAGGTAAATTGTCTTATTTCTTACTTGAGTTTTAATGATACTGGTTCACGTGATTTCTTTATTTACAACATTGATAGTTATGATTTTAGTGTATTCTAACTGTAGAGAATCTAACATTATTATGCAAAATAATTTTAGATTATTTTTGCGTATAATAACCGATAACGTAATGTTTCTTTAAAACAGTAAAAAATACATAAGATTACAATCGTTGAGTCCTACGTTAAACGTTGACTGAAAAGCGTCGTCAATACGACCGCTTAATGTGACGCAATTATTTCTCTCGCGAAGCAACTTAGTGCAAGAAACTAAAATTTGACCATAATCGCTAAAGGCACAAGATTGACATTCCTCTTACACTCATACCGGCTGGATGATGTGAACTTCTCCCTCACCTGCTATTAAGAGTTAAGTTTGGGAGCTCAATGTTAATAATACGAATTGGGACTGGAGGTCACATTTACAATTAGGTTCGGATGTGGCCCACGCTTAATGGCTTTGCGAATGAGATAGCACAGTCGGACTAGAAGAACTGATTTGATTGTGTCATAGCATTCTTGAGTATCCAACTAAGCATTTGTGATTAGCACCCACGTAAGGGTTACATAGTTTGTGATGCGTTTTATAGTTTCGGGGAGAAATTAATCGTCGTCCCGGAACTGCCAAACAATTGTTCAAACAGCATTCCTTAAGGACGTAATTAGGAGCGGTCTTGCAAAGAAACTTAGCGGGTCCTTGGACGAAGTGTTTTGTGAATGAAGTTGTTTTGAAACAAGACAACATTTTACATTTATAAATAATTTGAAGGTTAAATTAATATAGATAATTTGGGAACAATTTAGGAACAATAACCTCGTAACCTATAAAAAATATCCAAAAAGATTATCCACGTTTTAACCAACCACTATCAGGCCGTATTAACTTCTGTCTTCGTAGATAAACAAATACAGTAATAGTAGCAATACACAGAAGTCACAAAGCCAAAGTTCTTCTAATACATAACTATTAAGTTCTGCTCCAAAACAGTACAAGTATTTGGATGGTAATTGGATAAAAAATGCATACTCAAAAATCCCATTATACCCATAAATGTCAATAAAACAAATGAGCCGATGATGAGTTTTTTTATTTTTATTGCTTAGATGGCTGGACGAGCTCACAGCCCACCTGGTGTTAAGTGGTTACTGGAGCCCCTAGACATCTACACCGTAAATGCGCCACCCACCTTGAGATATAGGTTCTAATTCTGTAATATAGTTACAACGGCAGCTCCACTCTTCAAACCGAAACGCATTACTGTTTCATGGCAGAAATAGGCGGGGTGGTAGTACCACCAGTAGTTTGTGTTCGCATCCGTAAATATTTTTATTAAGCCCGGATCGCGCCGTTATGAACTTACTCTACTTTAAGGCATTGCGACTAAAGAAATCATTTTATTTCTGGAGAACTCGCTAATTGGCTCCTTGCCGTGCTATTGAAAACTGAATTATTTGAATTTAACACTAGAGAACCGTCCGACGTATTTATTGAAACCCTGCAAAACTTCAAAAATAAAATAGAAAAATATTGCATAAACGACAAATAAAAAAAGAACGGCACAATTCAACATTTATTTCTATGAAGCTACACGAAAATGTACATTCTGTTTATAAATTTAAAATTCGAAAAGCTAAATATGTATGGACGTTGAATATTTTAGAAGTGCGATTTAAGTTTGAGCGCACATTTGAACGAAATGTGGAATGAAATTATTAAGAGCCAGTTTACACGTATCGCGGGCACGAATCGGCCACCTGTCGGCACAACACGAATAAATAAATTGCGAATGGCGCGACGATGTAAATGAAAAAAAAAAACAAAAAAAGCTAAAACTTAACTGGCATTGCACGTTGACTCGCACGGTCTCGTGCACACACACAAACAAACAAACAAAAATCGTAATATAAAAATAGTTTGTTTGCGTAGTTCCGTTCTTATAACGCTCAATATTATGATTGAACTTTACATAACCGGCTCGCACCGGATTTAGTCGGTGTTAATGTTTCAGTAATAATTTTTTTGTTTTGTTTTGTTTTTGTAATACGTTCTTACGTCCATATTCTAAGCGTGCGTGATAGGGGCATGCGCGGAAAATGTTTTGTAAGAGATATTATATAATTAACAAACACTAGAGGTCCCGTAGTAGTCGAAATTCGACTATAATTAATTGGAATTGTAAATTTGTACACTATTATTATTGTATTTTATACTTCTATAATCACAAATTTCTCCAAGACTACATTATAAAAAAAATATTAACAAAGACAAACAATGTTTAATCTATTCTCAATTTGACAACAGACGTGAAGAACAAAAGTTTGACAATAAATAATATGCATGCATGTTTGCGTCAAATACATGGTCTGTAGTGTGTGTAATGTTTTCTTTATTGATTTAATGTACCTTTTATGCATTATTTTAAAAAAATATTATTAGCATTGTGCACTTCTTCTCTACATTCTCTATAAGTGTGGAAAATTTCATACTCCTCCGTCCGCACAGTTTTCGTAAAAAGGGATACAAAGTTTTTTCTTCACGTATTAATATATAGATAATATGATGTCAAAAAAAAACAAAACTTATTATCTTATTCATAAATGAACCTAAATTAATTCGTTCAAACTTCAATTGGGCGTTTTTTTTTTGGTGTTTTTTTTTTCTTTCATTCTCTGTTAGGTCAGTGGATATGGGAATGTAATCGATATGTCTGCAACAGAACCTTTCATCGTCTGGCTTCAGGATATTTTTTTCAAACTGTCTGCACTCTCAATCCCCATTTCAATTTGTGTCTGCACGATTTCTATTCGTCGGAAGCGCTTTTATCTTAAACTTCTTAGATTATAATTGTCTTGGTTTGCTTAGTTATATTTAAATGTTGTTTTAAATAACTGATATAATTCGTACTTATTAGGTATTAAACATTGTATAAAAACTGGTATTTATGTACCGCTGGGTCGATCAGAGATTTAAAAAAAATATCGCAAAAAAAAATATGCGAAGATAATTATATAAAATACTTCTTATTTTGGCAAGTCATTGTGGTCTAAAGGATAAGACTTAAATAAGAAGATAAGAAGTAACAAATAAATTAAGCAAAAGCAGCAGGCGGACGCCTATGATATCCTTTTCTTGTTTTATTTACATAGCGTGCTGTGCAAGCACTGTCACAGCTCCAGATGCGCTGACGATTGCAACATGAATGCCGCTACTCATTTTGACACATAGAATCGAAATCTCAATTATATTGAACGCTTCGAACTTCACGCCAGAAATAGGCAGGATCACAAGCGGACTGTGATAACTTTCCCTACATCAAGTAAAACATATTTTCTTCTAGAACAGATGTACTTCGCTTTTTGCAAATCGTAAACATAATTAAATCTACTTTTACGGTTTAATCTTTAGGGTTTATCATTGTCATTATTTAAGTTTAGTTGCCTCTAATCTATACTTAATATTATAAAGCTGACGAGTTTGTTTGTTTGAACGCGCTAATCTCAGGAACTACTGGTCCGATTTGAAAAATTCTTTCAGTGTTAGATAGCCCATTTATTGAGGAAGGCTAAGGCTATATATATATAACATCACGAGACCGATACAAGTGGAGCACGAATAAAGACTGTTTCAAAATATTTTCACTTTCTACGTAAATGAAGTGGGGGGTAAAATTTAGCGTTATGCCAAAGTAACTATTCCACGCGGACGGAGTCACGGGCAAAAACTAATACTTTATGGTTTTCGATACGGGTGATTTTATAATCTTGATTTTCACAAATTATAGTATCTGGAACGATCACCATTGCTTTCAGAAATAGTCCTATTGAGTTTTTTTTAAAATATTTATGTAAAGCGGCTAACTCATTCGTTTTTTTTTTTTGCCCTTGTAGGCAGCATACGGCCCACCTGATGGTGAGTGGTTACCGTCGCCCATGGACTTCAGCAATGCCAGGGGCAGAGCCAAGCCGCTGCCTACCGCTTAATACTCTCCACAAGCCTCTTTTAAATAAGGACATGTCATAGCGCTCAGGAAACACCGCGGAGGGGAGCTCATTCCATAGCCGGATGGTACCAACCTGTCCAGAATTCCGAGCTTGAGATATTCACTTCACTCACAAAAACCTTTGGATGCGATTTCGTAAATGTTTTTGCCTCGTATTCTTTAAATAGAACATACTTAATCGTTCATTGAAAATCTCCGTTGTCTAACTAATTAAGCTCTGATTAAACGCTAAATCAATTCGCATTCAGTTAATTAGTGTTTGACCTTCATCTATGTTTGGCTTACAGCGGCATAGACGAGAGCCGAAATTCAATCTGATAGTATTTAGGTAGTCTTTAATATAACAAAGCTTGCTACATTATGTCCAATAGTTTAAGAAACTCTTACGGAAACTATATTCGAAAATCGTGCAGACATCAAATGCTCGGATGCCGATTGACTTGACTAATTGATTGATTATTTAGTTAATCTCTGCTGGTTTAGAGTACACTAAAAATGCTTTCAAAAACCCCTTTGTACTATTCGTTAGCTCTAAACAAAACCGTACTGTTGTAACGTTGAAGGATTGTTGTTT